TAAACTTAAAACGTCGTATAAGAACATAGACAAAAGGTAGCAATTTTAAAATAATGAGTGTCCTTACCGCGGGACAAACTAATTAATTGCACTTTCAAGTAAACCATTATTTTAACAGTGAACGCAAAAATTAAACTCCTCTCACTTATAATCCGCAAGCGACAGCTCTATAACCGTGTTAATGGAAAAACTGGGAGCTAAAATATTGCGTTTTAAACAATACGATACGCCTGGGCCCGACGTCGTACGACTGTTGAAGTTGAGTGCTTTCGTCTCGAGTAATTTCACTTTATTTTAAAGTGCAATAATCCCAACATTTAATATTTTTAATTTATTTAACTTATTAACATTTACGATTTTTATTAATAATTATCAAAACAGGTAAATACCGTCTAGTGATGTATGTATACCGTTTTCAGTACCTACCATTTTTTAGAACGTCTATACAATATGTTTAAAAATACTTTTAAAGGTATAAAAAGGGAAATATTAGTCAACTTATAAAATAAATAATTTACTTAATAGGGACGGCCTCAACGTATGCCTAGGCCTAGAGATCTGATACCTCATATCCGCTCTGTTGCCCGGGTCAACTACTCGCTGACCGTGCGCCGACAGCACACTGTACCGGTCAATTACTAGTTGACTGCGCGCCGCCACGATAAATGTAGGCGTCAACCTGTGGGTGACGTGGCCCCCGTGTTCAAATAAGTCGAATATAATCGTCCTTATCGCTCTCGGGGCTAGTTTGTATATTCGTTTGTATTTCTATCTCGTTTTTCCGTTAAATTTCCTACCCTATCCATCCCAGTCGAGTATCCAAACTATAGAAAAAAGTTATGTATTAATAAAATAACGGTCCTCGGTCAGTGACGGATTCAGACCCTAATGAATGGCCATTAAATGTACTTTAAGGTAATTATAATTTTTATATTGTTTAGTTTAAATACTGTCTATAGTTTACGCGAGTAGTACATATTTAAATAAAACACTTTAACGGTTTAAAACGCGATATACTAGATAGTATTAGAAAATGATTATTAACTTCGGCCCGACGTTTCGGATGCTTTGCAGCAGCCGTGGTCACGGGGAGACTAAAGATGGAGGATGTCTCTGACGTCAAAGTAAAAAATTGCTACGGTAGCGCCATCTGTTCCGTCGAAGTTGGTATTTGGCAAAACTGGCCGGATCCTACAGAATTGACTAACGGTGTCTTCGCCTTTGCCGGTATGCTTTTGATTGGGATCCAGCGATTTTAATATGGGATCCCAGATGTTTGATAATTTGAGGCCGTCCTCCCTATTGTAATTTCGGTGTTTTTTGATTTGAATTGCTTCGCGTACCAATCTTGGAAAAAATCGACTCTCCTTTGCGAGGGTTTTTGGCTGGTCAAAGCCAATGTAGTGATTGGGCCCTTCCAATGAGTGTTGGCATACCGCATATTTGAAGAGACGTTTATGTTTTATATCCGCGACGTGTTCTTTAATTCTGTTTGAGATGCTACGCTTTGTTTGGCCGATGTAGGATAGGCCACAATCACAATCCAGTCTGTAAACGCCTGCGTCTTGTAAAGGGATACTACACTTGTTTGGTTTCAGGAATTGCTGAATCTTCTTGTGCGGCTTGAAAATTGTGTCAATAGAAGTTCGATTTAGGACTCTGCTAATTATATCTGTAACTCCCTTCACATATGGTAGGTAGGCGGGCTGACGTTTGACTGTGGGTGGTTTGTACCTGTTCCTGGGATGCTCCAGAGGGACTCTCAGCTTGTTCTTGCATAGGACCTGCCTGACATGCTCTAACTTCTCATTTAAGTGGGCAGCATCACAGAGACGACGGGCTCTCTGAAACAAAGATACTCCGATAGAACTAAGTCGGCTGGGGTGATGATGTGAGTCACCATTCAAATACCTATCTGTATGGATTGTTTTTCCAAAGACGGTATGCCCGATATTACCGTGTTCGTCACAAATTACTCAAATGTCTAAGAAAGGTAGTGTGTTATTGTCCTCCTGTTCAATTGTAAAATTAATGTTATTATGTATTCAGTTAAGGTGTATAAGAAATGCTGATACTTGTGCTTTGGGTGGTATCGCTTGTAAAGCTTAGGTTTAACCGGGGAAGAAGCGAGGGCTCTCTTCTCAAAGTCTTCCATAAAAATCTCAGCAACTAAGGGTGAAACTGGAGAACCCATGGCTACCCCATCTACTTGAACATAGAAATCCCCATTCCAAAATAGGTAACCGGGTGGTTGTCAAGCAATGTTCTGAGATATCCGCATATTCTATGGACATGTTGTGTTTAATAAGTTTGCTCTTAATAATTTTAATACAATCAGTCATAGGTAAGTTTGTAAAGAATGATGTGATGTCAAAGCTCTCTATAACTTCGTTGTCCGCTACCTTTAGACCTTTAATAGTTTCTACAAACTGATACGAATCCCTGACATGAGCATTTGTATTTCCCCTGAGGGAGCCAAGTGTTCTAGATAAGTGTTTTTCTAGTTATAAGTGGGGTCTTTTGACTGATTTAGACGTAAGGAATTGTTTAATTTATGATTTTTTGTTTTGTTTAGCGTCGAGATTCAGAGTCGTTTTATACTTGTTTATAAGTTGTTTAGTTTGTAGAACAATAAAATCACAAAAATACAAGACGGCTTTGAATCTCAATTTTAGCACGGCATAACTCTGGACCAGAGTCCTCATCTAAAGATCTAATGATACCATTGTATAGATTGTTTAATAGTAAACATAAAAATGTAACATTTGACAATCTAAAAATTGTCAAAATTTTCGACTCGGGCAGGACTTGAACCGGCATCGTCAGCTTTCCGTGCTGTTGCTCTGCCAATCTTTTTGACAATAGTTTTTGCCACTGTGCGTTTGAACCTACCAAGGTCAGAGCCGGACCATAGGCGTGGTCCAATTTTTTAGCCCTGGGCAACCGAGCGGATATACATCTAAAAAAATCTATAGCTGCAAAATCAATAAACCCATTTTAACTTTGACATTAGGGACCTCCATCTTCATTCCCCCCGTGACCACGGATGCTGAAAAGCATCAATAACGTCGGGCTGTAGTTAAATTTAATAGTAAATAAGTTGACTAATATATTTCACATTTTAAAATTGTTTTAAAATGTCTCAACGTTACGATAAAATCCAGAAGAGAGTTTGAATATTATCTTATCGTCAGACGCTGTTAAGGCGCTTTAATATATAAGAGAAATCGGTTATGAATCGGTTTACGTTGCAATATTAGAAGCTTTGTTCTTCTCCGGGAAATATTCTCTATATTGTAAATTCAACGTTATTAAAATAAATGTAAATTTTGTTTCGCAAATATTAAGTTTCTACGCTTCTGTACGATATTACAGTAGTTTTATAACTTTAATAAGAAGATGTTGGTTCATATTCTCTGCAATGACTTTTTGACGAGCTCGTTGGTGTTAGCAATCTTAGCCTAATAATCAACAGGTAGGTTCGATTTCTACCGGATCCAAAATATTTCTAGTCAATTCATATTCTTTCTGAACCATGTTGAACTTCGTCTGGCAATCTGGTTATTAAACGGATGTAAGAAATGTCAAAAATTTCGTCCGGGTCACGAACCACCGACCACGGATGAAAAATCTGTGAATTTTAATCGGGTTTCGGCTTCAGTAACTTTCCGAATATATAAAGCTAACGAGATTCACAGTACATCCTGTCAAAATGTTTTGTCGCTGGTTTAATTCTCATACGCATTGTTATTAGCCCAATTATTATTAACTACATAGTTAAACGAGCATAGTAGAGCGTTAAGCGTGAAAGTTCCTAGGTTCGAATCCTAGGGAAACAATATATTGTTTCGGTCGGGTCACAAAAGTCAGTCAACTAAATAGTTGATCTGACTTTTGTGACCCGACCCGACTTTTGTGCATTTTTGAAACAATGCTTGTAAATAAAACCGATTAGTGAAGCGGGAGTTAACTTGCTTTTTAATTAGTTAATTTAGGTTATATTTATATGTAGCATTTATTTTAAATATGATGTTATATCTTAGCGAGTGATCCGTGACATAAATAAACTGCAGCGCATTTTTATACACGGCGAATATATGTAAAAATAGACAAAGAAACAAAAGTTAATAAATAAATAAAAAAAATATATATAGATTATTATTGAAAAAATTACCACATCACTTGTTACTAATAAAGGAGGTGTTAAAAATCTCCCGACCGTCTGTCTGACAAATGAACATAATGGAGATCCGTAAAATCTAGTTTCAGGTGGGATTCAATTTCAGTTCAGCTATAACAGTATTTTTCAGTTTTACGACGGCAAATCTCAATTTGACTCAACTTTTAAATGGTCTCTTAATAGTTTCGAGCTCGACGTAACAAATGGCTGGGAAAAATAAAAAAAAAGATTGACGTGCGCGACAATAGCTGTGGGTTCCGTATAAAGTGGTTACTAACGTAAGACCTTTATTGCTTTAGTGACATAGGTACAATTACAGACAACATTTGCATGTGAGGTCGAGACTTCGATCCTCATCCAACAAAAATCTTTATAAACTTTCTACTACTATTAACAAATGTAAAAAAAGACTCTTCATATATATTATAAACTCCTGAATAAATACTTTATTATTATTATTATTATATATATAAACTAGCGGTCCTGTCCCGGCTTCGCACGCGTAGACAGTGGGTCTTCTTCCGCCGGCCGCGCAAGCGGCCGTCGGGATCCCCTTTCGCATTCTAGTGCTCGCGGGGGGTGTCCGGTTCGCAACCCGTCAATACGGGCTGGTCGCTGTTTGTGTATCAATAACACACAGTGGCGTCTTCAAAATGTTGGTCATGTGCGCGGGCGGTGCGTCCCAGGTGCGCGCGGCACGCCCCCACCGAGTGAGACCCCCGGTAGCCCCGAGGGAGGCCCAGTGAGGTACGGCCAGCGGATGAATCGCAGGTGAGACGCGCCGTGTTGCGTCGAGGTGATCTTCGTAAACAGGGTTAATTCACTGTGGCCACGCCGTTTTCGGCGCGGTTTCCTTCTTGCCTGTGGTTTTGATGGCGGCGAGCGCAGACTGTACAGCCGCTTCCACAATAGACGCGAGAGCCGCGTGGGTTAGTGCAATGGGCCGGTCGACGGTCGAATGCGGGGTCGTCCGCGGAACGCGGGTCGAGGCTTCGGCGGCGCTGAGGCGATGCAGTTGCGCCGTTGGGGGTGCGGGGGGGGCGGAAGCTATCCGTCCCTTTCCGCCGCGCTTCTTTGTCACTGTTCTTTGGCACGCGTAGACATGAATAAGTACAAATATTTATATTATAAGCATGCTAATTAAAACGACCATGAATCACTGAATTTGAAAAAAAAATTGTATTGCGCGTCCTGTCTGTTAACGACCGTGATCTATTTCGCTTGTTCAGGAGCCGCTGCGAGCGTTCAGTGTTAGTGTCCCGTGCACGCGTTCGCGGATTCCTAGCTCTATTTCCTTCAAATCGCTGCGACGATCTTGCATTTTGTTCTGCAAGGCGAACCTGAACGTTCGACGATAGAATCTCTGGCTCGCGATTGAGACTCGGACACTCTAATACTTTTTAGACGATCATTTTAGGAAGAAGACTCTCCAATACTACGAACTGCTAATCTCGCTTTGGAAACTATTCTTAGATAGCTGCGACCTTCTTCTTCTAGGCATATTGCTATGAAGGATATTTATTTTAAAACAGAGAAATTAAGAATAAACGAATAATAATACAAAAGAAAATATTCACAAAAATACAAATCTATCCTCTTTATAATATTAGTATAGATAGTTAAGCTTCACCCATAACCACTCCGGTCCCTGTTCCGACCACGCCCTTCAAAACGTCAAATATCACTGAACCCTAAAAATACGGGCTCCTAGTTAAAACTTCTAAACTGAATTTCAGCGAAATACGTAACGATATATGAACGCTCTGAAAACTATTTTCAAAGTTGGAATTTTACAATTTATGCTTTTAAAGCTGGGTTATTGCACAAATATTAGGTTGCGTACCCCTGGGATGTGTACGTAAGTGAACAGCTTAACGTTTATTTACTTTTTCCTATAGACATGGGATTTAATTACAAGATTTATGAAAGCTTATAAATTTCAACTTTTCCTAAAATCGATAATTAGACAGTTGTAGGGCATGTATCTTTCTCAATTTTGATAGATTTTGGTGACAACTTAGATATCCTGAAACGTTGTTACTATTTCTAGTACTCATTGTACAAAAAAATTCGAAAAATATTAATAGAAATACTTTTTATGTTTCAAGATTAAGGTTTTTTATTTCCCCACATGTTATATTGCTCATTAACAAATAAACAGGTTGGCGGCGAACTAAATTCGTACTCAACATACTTAAAATGGACAATAACTAAAACACACTTTTTTTACCTTCTTTTTTTTTCTCCAAACACCAAATTTTTTCCAAAAACCCCAAAAATTTTTAGCCTCAACATTCCACTACTAAAGAACGTTACTATACAAACAAGGATAGCGTAGCGTACTGACATTTTTTTTAATATTGTTACAAATTTGAACTGATATAGCCCAACATTCCACACTAAAAAACGGTAGATAGAGCGTAGCTTTTTACTTTGGCATTAGTCCATCAGTAGTCTTCCCGTGACCACGGCTGCTGCAAAGCATGCGTAGTTAAAAATAATTTTCAAAAAAGTTTAACTAAAAATATATCGAGTTTTAAACCGTAGAAGTGTTTCATTGAAACACTCTTTCCTATATTTTTAACACTTTTCAAATAAAATTGTATACCTAAGGGTCGAATACCTAATATTGTAGATACGTTATAGATGTGCCTGGCTACATTTCTGTATCGGTCCGATGTAACTACTTGTTTACGATACGACGTCAACCGTTTGGGTTTATTAGTCATAATGCCCTTTATCGCCTGTGAACAGTGCTCCAATAGGACGCCTGTCACACCGATGCGAACCTCATAATATTCCGGGGTATTGCACGTGTAACGAAGATAGTATTATTATATTTAGAAGAGGATAAAATACCTACATTTAAGTAGTACTTGGTATTTTATCATCCATGCGTCTTGAAATAAACGTATCTGGCAAACCAAATTACAAATATCCAAAGGTAGACAGCGCATCTTACTGAGATTTTACTTCAATCTTCAATAAACTTTTTTTTATAAAACACTTAAGTGGTTTAACAAAATATATAGCCAAATACTGTCTGTAGTTTACGCGAGTAGTACATTTTAGTGAGTCAATTCTGCAAGGACCCAGCCAATTTCGCCAAATACCAACTTCGACGGAACAGATGGCGCTAGCGTAGCGTTTTTTTAGTTTGACGTCAGAGATATCCTCCATCTTTAGTCTCCCCGTGACCACAGCAGGTGCAAAGCATCCGAAACGTCGGGTCGTAGTTAAAAATAATTTTCAAACAAGTTTAACTAAAATATATCGCGATTCAAACCCTAAAAATGTTTTGTTTGAGAAATATATACTTAATCATCAATTTATAATTTTACTTTGCTTTTAAACCATTTTTAATAAATAAAAGAAAAGAACTAAAGACTATTATTATTTTAACAGACTTAAGTAAAAAATAAAATAAAATATACTTTATTATTTTTTAAATTTCAAAACCTATTTAGATTCGTAAAAAAAAATTTTGTTTGTCTGTCTGTTCGCCGTGATTCTACAGAGTGTTGAAAAGAGCAATATAAAGTATTCATAAGGTTTTATTATTTTCATGGCGCTCTTACATCTGCCCCTGCTCGAGCATACATTTTATAGATCTATGAACATGTTTGATCCAAGCATTTTGTGTTTTATCTCACAACAATTTCAGAGGGAATTTGGGCGATTTGTTTTAATTGCCTCGACAACAAGCACAAATTAGTGCTACACGCAACTCTAGCAGCTATAGATACCTAGTACAGGAATTTTATAATGAAATATGACCTCGTAATCTACCAGTTAGAAGAATAAATTGAAGATCAGCTTGGTCTAGTGCTAAAATCCCCTGCTAGGCCAAATTTTAGGGACCGTACTTAAGTAAAATATGATAACGTGTTAAAAGGAAACTTTAAAATCGATGACGTAAATCAATAGCGTAAAAAAAATCTTCTTGGATAAGCAATCAAGACTAAAAGGTTCTTTGTAATATATATTCTTATTTTTGTAATTTTTTGTTTAGTTTTTTTTTCACATCACGGCATTATATTAATTGTAAATTGATGTATATTGAAAATAAATAAAAAAATCCAATTCAACTAGCCTCGCCCTTGTCATATTTTTTAATCTAAATATGTTTTTAAGTTCATTTTCTGTAAGTGCTTCTTGTTTGTTTGTTTAACCATTATCCATAATTTGGTTAAGAAAATGTTTTATCAAGATAAAACAGCCCTAATCAAAGGAAACAACGCGGTGTTTCCGCTATAAACCAATTAAACTAAAACTAAACTTAATTCAGGCACGCCATAGCTTCATTAACTTTTGTGAAAATATGAACTAGCCTTTTATTCCTTGCTTGATCAAAATGATTGATTTCTGGTTTATTTTCATTTGATCACAACGTCACGGAGCACCTATTTCGTGAATAGGTTTGAAAATGCATTGAAGAGCTCGGTAAGAATCTTAATCCTAAAGATGTCCAACCTATGTCGAAAATAAATATCCCCTAGTATTTGAAGAAGAGACTCTATTATCAATTAGTCTTTCTTTAGTTGCGCAAGTCTCAACACCTGATGATGGCATCCATTCGTAAAGGCGAAACACTGAAAACCATTTCCTGGCTTCGACGCCGAACACGAAATTTTCTCTCCTCTGGCCTTACTAATATCCGTCGCCTAACATAGACATCGTTTGAAAAGCCTAAAGACTTTCGCCTCTAAAATGCAACACAGCCTATCTTCAAACAGACCAGAACATAAAATTCTGAAAGCCTTGAAGTATTTTATTTCTAAAAGAATTTTATAAATAAAATACTTTTAAACCGTTATAAGTGTGTTATTTTTCCGTAAAAAAAATTCCAAGCCGGTTTAACCAAAACATATGAACACCAGTCAAATGATATTACTCAATAAATAATACTATCTTTTATTTAATCAGTAACACTACTAAATCTTCCCTACCAGTCTAATCCACTAAATGTATAAATTCCAGATAAGCGGCCTCTGGTGTTAAAACGATTAAAACATTTGACTGCTGATTAATTAATTCCCGCTTTAATCAGCCTTTCAGAAACAGGAGTTCCTTCATCTTGTTCATCCCTAGTTTAAATTGTTTCACAATTACCATGTTACTAGCTCGGGGTATCGGTCAAAACTTTTTTAATCTACCCGCCTACAGCTTATTGATTAGAAATTTCCTCTTTACAGTATATATTGGTTCTTTTCCTTAGGAATTTAATTAAATTGTGTGGTACCGTTCATTTATGGAGGCAGAATATCGATCAAAGTGAGGGTAATTAATTTAATAACATATGAGTTGACATTGCGTTTTCCTTGTTTTATCACCGCCATTATATGTACAAATATTTCGTTAAATTTCTTGCGCTTATTTATAAACGAAATTCTTTGCTGTTCTTTGAGTTATAGTGAAATTCTTTTATTTATTTAAAATTTTCACAACCACTTTGAGTTTAAAATGAAGGTAAATAATAAAAAGATACAATTCTTGTCACGCGCTCTTTAACAAAAAATACATATTACACTCGTGATGATTATTTTATTTAAGATTCATTCTTTTAATTATTATTTTTTTAAAAAATCTACAAAATGTTTAAACTCTTTGTCACCTACGCCATTGTTGCAAATAACTTGACACATTTACTCAAATCGAGTAACTGTTTTAATCGTTACATACATACATAGGTTGACAAAATCATGAGCCTTCTTCTTGTCACCATTGTCGAGAAATAATATAATTAAACGCGATCGCATCCGACCACTCCGTTCTATTTACTGACGTAAGAGAACAATAAAAACGCCATAACTTTTAACAAATTATTTTTCCTAATAACCTGCTACTATTTGATTAATGCTATGTAATAAAATGACTGTAAAACTTGATGGCTCGTAAATTTCTAAGTAAAGTCATAAACAGAATGGACCTGAGCCAAGTGTGTCTGCGCCCTTTAGGTTTTCATAAATAATTATCGGTGTTTATAGCGTCAAATGAGTTAATGTCAGAGTGCTTTGAAACATTTTCAGGCGCAGATGACGTCATAAAACTAATTTTGTTTATATTTATGTAAATACAAAATCATCACTCTGCCTAATAATTCTAGAAAATTATTTATTGCAAACAATTTGTTTATATCCTAACTAAACGTTTTTCTAATTGTCTTGAAAAAAGAATGACGAATGAATTGGTGATAAAAGGAGTGACGGCGAGTTAATTGCCAGTTCTTCTTGTTCGTTCAACGCCCTTGCTTTGAGAAATGATAGTAAATGTAAAGTTAGATTCTTTAGTTTTGTTACATGCAGATAGCTAGCCCGGCAAACGACGAGAACATATAAAAATAACTACATTCCAAGAATTAATTTATTATATTTTATTGAAATTGGTAGCCTCCTGGGAGGATAACTTACCAAGTGATTTTCGATCAGTTATCAAGCGGGATGGATTTTTTAAAATTACTTTAACTAAACTACTTTAAAAATACGAAAAAAATTGTTAGGAGTGGATAATTCTTGTCACTTCATGATACGAAAAATAGATCGATACCGATTGTCAGACCTGCTGTATATTCATAAAAAAATTCATAAAAATCGGCCAAGCCGTTTCAGAGTGTGGTAACTAACAATGTGCACACAAATTCTGTGTCTAACTATGTGTAAATCTTACATTTTATATGAACTCTTGACCTTTGCACAGAATAAATTCACTTGTTTCAAAGTCTTGACCATTTCCTTGGCCTAGTTTCAGCGTCTACACTTTAGTGGGACCGTAATTACAACTAGGAGGGTCATAGGGCTAGAGGGGTCTCACTGTCTGGCCTGGCAAACTTTCTTTTGCCATATAAAGTATTTCTACCAAATTTTATTACTATTGAAACTGATCTCGTGAGTAATTCTTAAATGATAGACATTTACTGTCCTAGGCATTTGTAGAACGATTCTTTTATACATATTTCTTTGGTGTCTGGAATGGTTTGGGCTGCGAAAACCGTTAAATAACCGGATAAGAATATTTTTTTCTATTTTTTACATTCATAAACCAATTTCACTTCTTCTATTTATCAAGGGAACAGGCGTGTCTGTCTAAACACCAAGTACTGAGTAACAAAGATTTAATAAAACAAATTGACCGCACTTTTCTCAGTTAGTTAGTCACACAAAAAAAATACAAAGAATAACACACAAATATATGTTTAGGGACACCACTCAGCTCTTGTATCTGGAACTAGGCCCAACGCCGATTTTCAGTGATGCCCCACGTTTGACATTTAAGTAGTAAGTAGAAAATTATTAATTAAAACAATTACCAAAACATTAGTCACATTGAAATGTTTGCACGGATGAGTGAAT